ATAAGAAGAAGAAAAACAAAGCAAAAAATTTACCAGACTCCCTCCAAATGCACAAAACAGAACAAAACCAGCAGAATGGCATAAATGAACAGCAATATATCTTTATAAAAGAGGGTGAAAAATTGCATCCTCAACTGTGTATTATTGAAGATGGGCTACGACCAAATAAATTGCTTTTAAAAGCAATTAAAAGCTCACAGAAGAAAAACACTTCCCCTGTAAACTAAAAAAAAAAGACATAATGAAATGCAAACCATCTTGAAACTACCATACGGAAACTGGAACGAGCACTTCAAGCTGAATGGTATAGCAGAAGGAGTGAACTAGCTTACCTAGATAAGACAGCCTATTGCTGAAGAGGGAGTAGTTAGGGAATTCAGAAGCAAGCAGGTCTGTGTATCTGGATTTAGATGAGTAACAACCTTAAGGCAGTCACATTCATATTATTAGTTGTTCCTGCCTCAAGGAGCGGTATCTTCAGAACTGCCCGTAACTTAGAACCCAATCCAAACACTGCTGCAAGCAAGGTAGAGTTTTCCTGAAGACTTCAGCAGGCTTTGGAGCAGGTCAGTAGCTGCTCTGCAGAGTCCTTTCCCATCAATTATAGATAATACATATCATAGAAATAATTCTTTTCACCACTTCTCCACATTCACACACTCTCACCCCCCATTTCTTAAATGCTGATAAATGTGTGAAAAAATAAAATCTATAAAGCACTTTCATTGCACTGCTGTGTTGAAAAAGAGCTCTCTAGGATTAATCCTGTTCTGATGAGGGTTGAACTGGCTGACAAAAATGGTCTTGACTGCCCTGAGATACTCAAGCCCTCGCCTTCTCTGCAACTGCCAGGCAAAGACATGATCCTACAGAAAGAGCTACCTTGCTACTGTCTGGTCCAGGTGAAAAAATGGGCAAGAAACAGTAAGAGGAAAGAAAACTGAGTTTCCTCTGGGTTAGAATTCATGGAGGTGCAAGCCAGTTTAATCTACTCAACAAAGGTATTTCCCTTTCTTTTCCCTCTGCCCATGCACCGTTTCAAAGTGCATCTTTACCTTATTATATTATTAGAATAAATCAATATTATTAATATTACATGGGGGCAATTCTGTAAATTCTCCATAGTTCTCCTCCCTGACTGTTAACGGGTACATTATGCAGTCTCTAGTTAGATTGTTCAACCAGGCTATCGATAGTCTTAATAAGCAATATCTATATTGTGACCTTTGTTCACAGAACTGAATCTTTCCTATAAGGCTGTCAGATTCCTTAAAGAAGTATTGATAAGCTCATTACTGTATTGCTACATATAATTTTAGGTGTGAGTTTCACTCACCCTCAAGCATCTAGTAGCCGAATACTTTTTTTTTTTTTCCTTCCTAAAGCACCAGCCCTTTTACAATTGATCAAATAGTGAATTAGAGCATTATAGAGAGGAAACATAATCAAGGGATTTCTACAAGCACACTGTGATATATCTTTTGATCTTCTGACAACCTTCATCCCTCTGAATCCTAGGAAGGAAGCACTGTTTTATAGGGATATTATTAGGCTGATACTGTTTTATACATCTATCTGCAAGAAGCAACCGAATCCAACAAAGATATTTGTGTGCATTTGCAGTGAGTGATGCATATTATGTGATGCGAATCTATCCTTAGGGAGAGAAAAGGAGAGGAACTGTGTGCAAATGTAAGTCTGCTCTTTCGATACATGTGTGCATACACAGTCTCTGTGTATTATATACACAGGCATTTGAATTAGAAACAGGCCAAATATGCAGTCAGATCTCATCATACCAACTCTGTCTGCAAAGGTCCATTTTTATTCTGTTTGAAGAAGCTTCATGTCCAGAGTTATCTGCCCCAGCGCACTGGGAAGTCAGCCTGGTTGCATCTAAAATATTTTGGAAACAATGTACAAATAAACCAGAGGTAGATTAATTAAGTGTGACTGTATCATTAAATTAGTAATGAACAAACAGCTATGTACCACATTAAACTCTGCATATAATTCCAGGAATAGCCAGTTAAGTCACCTGCCACTTTCAAGCAAGTGTATGATCTCTTCCTTTTAGAAAGGAATTATTTAGAGACCTATATCAGTATGTTTACTTTTTCATTAATAAGCATATATAAGAAATGGTTTTGTGTGTGTATGATATACAGAGGTAGTAGACACACTTCTACCACTGTGTATGCCCATTTCATGTAAAAGTTTGTTCTTTGCTGCACCTTTCATGTAAACTATGTATTTTTATGTTTTTCAGATTTAAATAAGGGGATTACAAACTTCAGCATGTAAAGGGGAAAGAATAGCCTGCATTACAAACTGTTCTGCATTGCACCATGGTCTATTGAGCCGTAAGCAACTTTCTGGCATTAAAAGACTTTTAGAGAACTAACAGCGAAGGCCCCTTTCACTGGCAAATATATATCCCTGGAGGCATCAACATTGCCAACAAAGACATCTATGAAATAGTTAATGTTAAACAATGATTGTCCATGTTCAACAAAGGAGGAAGAAATAAGCAGATAAGTGTGAGGTAGATCGAAATCTGCATGCCTCATTGGCCGAGCTGTCGGATATTTCTAATGCTTCTGAAGGGTTTGTTACTAAGAACCTGTTAAGTATCTTTAAACCTTTGATCTGTAGCCAGTCTTAACAAAGGTGGCAATTAATTAAAGGAGAGTACATTGCAATAAAGTTACATTGTGGTCAGTTTATATATACTGTCCAAAGCTGGTTCACAGAAGTCACTGTCAATTAAAGTCTTCTTGAAGTCCAGTTCATTATCAATTTTTCCCCTTTGCCTTGATCAATATTTTTGGCTGTTTCTGCTTGACAAACTTAACACAATGCCTATATCTATATATCTTGCCATTCATTTACATGGAATAGATAGCCGTATATTATTTATTTTTAGCTACTATGTATGGTCAGGCACTTTATTTGAGAGGTTTAGAGCCCTCATCCATCTTTATTTTAAGGAGCGACAATAATAAGCCCTCTCATCCTTCAATGGAATGTCAGTTGGATATAATGAATGCACATTAAAAACTGCATTCACCTGTGTGTGCATTCAGGCTGTGGCTCAGAGTGACAAAAGCAAACAAATGCAGTGTCTGTGGTGACATCCTGACTCCAGCCCACACCAAGAGATGCCGTGCAGACAAAAGTGATTCAATAGATCCTGCAATCCCCAAAATGAGACTACGCATCTTGAGGAGGCACGAGGAAAGAGAGGCCCCTATAATATAAATACCCCAGCTCAGTCAGTGAAGCGACAGTGGAAGAAAAGCCATAACTTTAACTCAACATGGTTATAATTTTTCCTTTCTTTTCACTTGGAATTTTAATACATAAGGGTCAGCCTGCCATGACAAACCCCAGCAACAGTCATACTGGCATCAGTGGAGCAGTTAAGTGAGTGAGAAATGCGTCAGAGGTCAGGCTTTTATCAGTTCCTCAGCTTTGTTTTAGTTTTAGTTTCACTTGCAGAAAAAAAAGCTAAGTTAAGGGACATTACAGCAAGCGCAGAATCTGGTAGCATTAACTGTAAGTGTCACGATTTGCTATGTAAATCCACAATCCAGAATTTTAAAGAGAACTTGAAACACTGCATAACTGCAAGCTTGCACCAGGATTTCCAAGCACAAAATGACCAAAGCAATGGCAAAAATCTCACTGACTTCTGCCCAGCAAGCAGGCAACAAGCCTTCACTCCCTAAGTAAAGATGATGCTGGGATTAATGAAACACCAGTCTGTTTGTTCAGGCTGGGATTCAACTTAGCTCACTTAACACCTCACCTGCTTAGCACAAACTCTTACATGGCAGATATAAGGCAGCACTTGATGGACAGGTCATGTTAAGCTCTGCAGTCCTATGTTTTTATGGAATATTATTTTAAGGCTATTGCCAATACCTACACGAGTCTTTGGGCATCTGATGCTTTTTCTCTATTTTAAATGCAGGTAAGCAGCCCAACAGCCTAGATCATCTCCCCCACTTTTTCTCCCTTTGAACCATTAATGCCTGTCGCATAAACCCGCCTCGGTTCACACTTGATTGACGGGAGGGATGGTAACAGCTCCTTTAGTGTCGTTATGGTCTGTCGGGTCAGTGCGGCTGGTATGCACACACACAGGGTATGAATGATAAAAACCACCCTGTAGTTCTGCTGAAAAATGTGGCTGCGTATTTCTAGCTTTTAAGGCTAAGGGATGCCCTACTCGATCATGCAGCCCCTTTTGCCCCTTGCTCTTGACCACCGTGAATACAGAGTCCTCTGCCCACCCCCCTTGACAGGTACAATTCACTTTTTGGTTGAGCACAAGACACTTTCTGCAACCTCACTCACTCTTCACCCAGGCAAAATTTCCAGATACTCTCTGACAACTTCCTTCAAAAGACTATTCCATCAAGTGCCTGGCTTTTATTATACTATGCAGTTTGAATCCCCTTCTAAAGAAAGCTCTGTTTGTGGCACTGGCCACTGGCTGATGCAGGATACAGGACCAGATGAACCACGCTTTTCATCCAAGGTGACAAGGATCCTCAATTTTACCCCCTACTTCAGTGCTGATGTTCACGATCTCTTCTGCTGAATACAGGAAAAGAAATATATATGTATAAAACAAAAACTAAAGTGTCCCTGTTATACTTCATAAATTAGAAAGTCATTTTAATTAAAACATTGGTTTGGCCAGGTAAATACTATGAAGTCTGGTTGTTGATGTTATTTCTTTCTTTTTTTTTTTTTTTTAAGAAAGAATTACCTTTTCCTCATTCCTTAAAATGTCCGAAGGCACCAATATGTGTAGATATTGAGGGACAAAAACAATCGCAAATCATAAATGTGTAGAAAATATAATTCTAACCTGAAGAAAGGCAAGAGAAGAAACAAAACCTCTAGAAACACAAACTTTAATTTCTTTCTTTCATCCATATTATGTAATTTTAAAGCAAATTCATTCTTGTAAGGATGATTAGTTGATGTGGTAGTGGGGCTAGCTGAAGAACAGCTTTCAGTGCAAAACTTAACAGCCAAGCGAGAGATCCCAGAAAATTGGAGTTTGCATTGGAAATGCTGACACAACCGTAACAACATCATAACTGGATGCAGCTGCTTTTAGAAACCAGAATCCATGTCCAGACCTCTGGAAAAAGAGTTAACATGCAGCATTCTAATTTATGAAGTGATCAGGGCTATCTGTTTGATATTACCAAAACACATGCATGCTGAACTGTATGGGAGATTATAATGTACAGAGGGTTGTTTTTTTCCTCTCTCTTCCATCAACCTATCCAGTTGCATTTTGATTGTTTTACGGGATTGTTCTTTAGACCTAAGGCATAAAGCCTCCTCTGTTTTATTCCAGTTTATTTGTGCATTTACCTCCCTAAGACTTGTTTGGTTTACTACCATACTAAATGCTGTATGTGTTGCTTTCAGCCAGGCAAGCCTTATGTTTCAATTATGGAGGAGTTTATTCAGCACCTGTATTGCGTTGTGCTTCTTTTCAACTGAATTTCCATTTCCCAAAGGCTATATGCATGAATATGTGTACATCTCTTTTTCTGTATGTATACACACATACAAATCTATACATTTATATCTATATAATCTATACAATCTATACAAATCTATCGTCTTAACTGAATGCTCATTTTTATTGCACCTTTGAATTTCTAAGACATCCAAAACCTTCATAAACATCTTTAGACTTAACAAGGTTTTAATTTTTCTATCATTTATCTTTGTAATCAAACAGAATGAATATAATGAATGGAAGCCTTGATTACCTATCCTTGAGGTGTCTTAAATTTAAAAATTATTTATACTTTTAGAAGGTAAAACAGGAAAAGAACTAAACTCTTCTTTCCACACTGCATTTTTCTAGCTGCATTGAATGTTGATTGAGTGAGGCTCGAGTCAGGTAGAAACACCATTCTAACCACAGGACCTGCAGTAGTGGATTTCAAGGAGGCTTTGGGATTTTATGATTTCCCCAATCCTAAATAAGGGTTGAAAGACTGTTGTAGATCTCTGGTCTATGAAGAGTCTTGCTTTCCCAATACACACTAACTCCACTCTGTAAGTGCACTCACATGCATGTGTTTCAGTAAACCTTATTTAAGTGTGGAATGCTGATTTCTTCTGACTACCTAAATAGAATATTATGGAGACCTCTATGTTTTAAATTAAAACACATTTCAGGCCTTGGGTACAAGCAAGCTTAGATAGAAAAGGCTGTTTAAACCTATGGGGACAGTCTTATATTTAGATTACATTAATTCATAAATATTATACTAAATACCACTTAAATTGGCCTTAAATGACTTCAAAGATAATGCATTATAATATGGCTGTCCTGAGAGCACTAACCTTTATGTCTCCCAGTAACTCAGCGTTTAAGCATACTCCACTGCTAGGTAAGAAGGAGAGAAGTTATGAATGAATGGCTTCCTAAATGGTTCAAGTGTGATTAGTGCATGTGTATGTGTGTATGTGTGAGTGTGTGGGTGGGTCAGCTCAGCCCCGGTAGATTTCTACCCGTGGATCTCAGCACACAGCCTCCTCCCAACCCTACAGCAAAGTACCACAGCAGAAGCTTGTTCCTGCCCCGTGTGGAGAGAAGTGAGGACGGGGGAAATATGCAGCAGCAATGTTTGTTCCATGAAAGCTTGTTTTCTCAGAGATCTGGCAAGCCTTTCCCGCCTTCTCTCACATGCTGCTTCCCCCGTACCCTTTTCTCTCTTCATACGCCTGCAGGAGAATCCTGCTCCCCTGCCTCTTCCTTGGTATCTGGCCTGTTATCCGCCGGAGCTGCTGGTGAAGTAAGCTGGGACTTCACTCTCCTTTTGTGGTAATGTTTTCGGGAGGGGGCATAGTCATGTACTTTATATTAGGGTTCTTAATTTTCAATTTCTTCCTGCTATACAGGAGCACCAGAGTATCTCTTCACAACGTTTTCAGGAATACACGTACTGTGCTCTCATTTCAACGTATTTACACCTGAAATTACTCTGGTTGCTATGTTTTTACTTTAAACTAATTCCTGTCTCTTGCCTCCTCCCAACACAAACCCACCTTCTCCCTCTCCACACCCAAGGTTTGCTCTCCATACACTTAAATAAACTACAGCCTAGTATTAACCCTTCAAGGTATACCTCTACCACAACCTCCTTCCCTGGATTAGGAATGAAATCAACTGAGAGTGATAGATCAATTAATGCATAAGCATTACGCATGACTTATGGAAAGCATCTTGGGGTTTCGGATTGCCAACCTACCCCTGAGAGCCAAGTTGGACTATCTTTATACAATTCTTCACTCATGCCTGCAAAACAAAGCCATAATGAGGAGGTCTGAGTGAATACTATGCTTCACATGACTGCATTTAGAGAAGGGAAAAGAAAAAACAGATTAAAAAAAAAAAAAAAAAGAAAAATAGAAGCCAAACACAACATTCATCCTTCAAAGCCCCATCATGCTTTTTGACTTAATAGTAATTAATCACTACTGGCAAGAAAGTAATTTTTTTCCAGGTAGCCAGAGGCACATTTTGATCAGGATTAGCTAATAAATCAGCGGCATCGCTAGAAAGGAGTTCAAACTCTTCTCGGATGTACTAAATAAAACCGATCCCTGAAATGCTGCCAACTCGGTGTCTATTGAAGCTTCACTCAAACCCTAACCTGCAAAATAACAATCATCATCATCATTTTTCCTTCCAAAGTCCAAAACTTCTAGGAGGTTAAAAATTGCTGTTTCTGTCAAGATGAACTCGTGCAGTTTGGTTTGATGAAGTGACAAGATTTCCCACCTGGCTTTTTTTGTAGGTTGATGCTTTAGAACAGAAATGAAATGAAAGGGAATGAAGTTAGTATCTTGCTTAATTCAGGAATATGTGTTAAACACATCCAAGCAAGACAAATGATCCCTCTCTCTCTTCTTCTCTCCCCTGCTTCCTGAGTTTGTCTCTGTGAATGCAGGCATACAGTAAATGCAAACTGAACTGGAAGAGAAAGAATTTACATCTATGAACTAGAAATTAAAGTTATCTCATAGATTGATTAATTACAGGTTTAAGATAGAGCATAACAAAAGAATAAAATCTCACCAACAAATCAAAATTATCTCTCCCATCACAAAAATCCTTTATCAAGGTGTTAGCTCAAAGATATCCTCTGCACTATGTTGAGTGATTCTCTTCAGTGTAGCTTTTACTGTTATTATTTTTGGGTTACAGAAACCTTAGATAATTTTTGCAAACACATGCGCGAACACACCAGCTTAGTGCCTACTCTCACTACGCCTCATATATTAGACAAAACCTCTCAGGACCTTTCCTTCCGTGTGCTTTTTACTAGCATTTTTATTGTTATTAATAATTATTATAGTATGGATGTCATGTTTAAATGATGCCCATCAGACCTTTATGTGGCTTCTAGGAAGCTAGTCTGAGAAGAAAGCATGGTTCGAAAGGGCTACACTTATAATTGTAAATATAAGAAGGGTGTTTAGAGCAACCGGCAAGCAAAGAAGGAAGAAATATCCTCCAACTTAGACTGAGTCCCCAGTCCCCGAGTCCTGAACATTTTCTCTAGCCTGTGTGAAACCGGTACTTTGGACTATCAGGGTGTATTTTCATTCGCATTTCTTGAGGGTGGAAGAGAGCAGGGGAGGGATGGGGAAGGGGAAGAGATGCCAGCTAAACATGCCTTTAAGTTCAAGATTTACAATTTGCCAAGGCATCTGGAAAGCTGGGAAGCCAGTAATGCCATTACCAGTGACTCTCCCTGTCGGGAGTCCACCAAGCTGGAGTAGACACTGTTACTGAATCCCTCCTGTAAAACATACAACTTCCACTCCCCCCGTAATCCCCTGCAAAACCCTTTCTCTTCCCGCATTAAAACTGGAGTCACACCCCAACCAGTTCTGATCTGATCTTTTTGGGGTTGTTTTTTGTTTTGGGCTTTTTTTTGTTTGTTTTTACTTATTTTTTTAATAACTACATATTCAATGAAACAAACACACACACACACACATGTATATACAGAACCTGAGTTAATAAAGTGGCTTGCTTCACTCCTGGGTCCCTTCTGCTCCTAAGAGGGGCTACCATTCAAATTATCTTCAACTTCCTCCCTCTGAGTCCTACTTTCTTAGCCGAGGATCCAAGCATCTCTCCCCCACTACACACACCCTCCTCCACCCCCAAAACGTAGCATCATCTAATCTGAAATGCACCTCCGGAAAGCCTGAGCTAAGCAGAGGAAGGAGAAGGCAGGGGATGGAGTGAGTGAGGCATCGCACGGGGAGTATGCCTCCACTGCCTTTAAAGAAAATCTTAAAAGTTCCTGGGATGGACTTTAAGCACATTAAAGTAGTACTTGGAATATGCCTGCTTGGAGACTTCTCTCCTCTGGAACTAAACTGCCACCTGTCTCTCCTGGTTCACCCTCTCCAACACACACACCCCAGTCGTGATTTCGTACACACACCCCCACCCCGCTTGAGATAGGCTTTTTTATTGTTGTTTAAATCCCTGTTCCCACACTGAGCAAAGCCAAAATTAACTACTTCCCTCATCTCTGGAGCAACTCGCTCCCTTCTACTTTTGACTTTGGAGTGGACTGCAGATAACAATTTTAACAGCAATAATAACAAAAATGAAATAAAAATAAGAAGAAAAAGAGAAGGTGCTGGTGCCCGATATACAGCAGTTGTAAAATATGGGCTTCCCGGCTCAACTCAAACACACTAACACACACGGACACACACACCCCCCTGGGTGGAAAATGTGCGGCTCCCACGGATAAAGAAAGAAATCCTACTCCCGGTTTTCAGCACCACCGGCGGGCGGACAGCTCCCCGCCAGCCCTGCTGCCGCTCTCTGCCCGCCCGGGCTCCCGGCGCCCGCGGGCAGCTGCACCTCACCCCCCAAAAACGGGAGGAAAAAGGTAAAAATACTGATAAATGACCCAAACTAAGCTGACTTTCTTCCCTGCATCTCTCTCTTCTCTTTCCAGTAAGGTTTATTATTTCTTTCCCTGCCCCCGTTGCTTGCCACCTCCACCCCCGGGCCAATTGAAAATGGAATAAAATGAAATGAAATCGAAAGAAAAGAGGGAAAGAGAGACCCGGAGAGGAGAGAGAGCTTGCGTCCCTCTCCCGGTCTCTCCCGGGAAAGTTCAGGAGGTAACTCACCTTTGTGCATGCCAGTGAACCTGTCCTTCAGCACTGTCAGTTCATAGATCTTCCCGAACTCCTCGAAGAGCGGTTTGAGGTCTTTCTCGTCCAGGTTACGGGGGATCTGCCCAATAAAGAGCTTAATGGCATCGTGGTCCTTCATTGGGATGGTGGATGGGTTTCCGGGACTATGGTTTAATCCGTTCATATGCCCGTTGGTGCTGGGGTTGCTGTGATTGCTACTCAGGCTGGTATTGTCTGGTTGTCCGTTTGCTAACGTGGCCATCTTTATATACATAGAGAAAATCTTCTTTCCTTTTTCCCCCCTCTTCTTTTCTCTCTCCCTCCCTCTCTCTCCCTCTCTCTCTCCCTTTCTCTCGCTCTCTTGCTCCCTCTCCCTCTTTCACACACACTCTCTCTCTCACACACACTCCTCCCTCTCCGTCTCTCTCTCTCTCTGGGTCTGATCTGATTTTTTTTTTACATTGAAGATCTGTGTCCTTTCCGTTTAAACAGGCTGGATCGGTTCAAATTCCCAGCCAGACTAGGGGGTGGGGTGTGAGTGTGTGGATGTGTGTGTGTGCGGGGAAGGGAGGCTGGGGGTGGGGGATCGCTTTTGCCTTTACTCTGGCTAAACCCCCTCCTCCCATCCAACCACCCCCCTGTCTGTCTGCCCGGGAGAAGCTTAATGGTATCTTCCAACACAGCCCCTGGCTATAAATAGCACTAGGCGCATGGCTCTTTGAGAGACAGTCCATTTCTATTGTGCCAAGTGAGCAAAGGGGAACGGTTGCGTTTTTAGGACCAGTGATGATGATTTTATTTTTTTCTTTTCCTTTCAAAACCCTCCGCTCAGTCGCTGTCTTTATAATTTCAGTGATCATCGTGAAATCCGCCTTTTTAATTGAGAAGGGGGAAAAAAAAATAACAAAACCCAAGGTGTTCTGACTTCTTCCTGTTATGATGGTGTCTCTTACTTATTATTTACTCCTATTATGAGTTCGCAATTGATAATAAAAGCAGTTCAGATACGGAAGAATCCTCGGCTCAGAGGTTGCTTTTGCTGTTGTTGTTGTGGTTGTGATGTTACAAGCTCTCTTTACTATATCTGTTCTTGTTGCATCTAAAAATAAATGCATGCTCTTTAAGTCTTTCATTTTTTTAATTATGCCGATTATGATGATGACATCAAGCTAAGAAAAGCGCAAACGGTATTATTGTAGCTCTTTGGAGGGAGGCGAAAAATACTGAGATGACTATTGTTAATTTTCATGCTGCCGATATTTATTTCATGTACTATCGTTGCGGGCGTTATCTCCTCTACGAGCTGCTTGGGGGGGGGGGGAGGGGGGTGTATGGGAAAAGGGATTGATTAGATAAGATTTTCCTGCCCGACTTTCAAGCCATCAGGATATTCTGTCTCTCTGATGGAAACATAAATTGTATTTTGTAGTCATCAGGGATCGGGAGTTGCTTGTCCGAACAATGCTCTCTAGACAAAGTGTACTGTATGTTGGAAATGAAATCAGCTCTCCTTTCACAGCATCTGGGGGTGGGGAGGGCAGGGAGACTCGGATTAAGGACACAACTCCCCCTTATCCCCCAAATAATAATAACAGTAATCCGGGCAGTAACAAAACAAGGCTCTGCGTGTGCTCGGAGCAATTTTGCTTTTTTTTTTTTTTTTTTTGCTTTTTTTTTTTTTTCTGTTTTTTTTTTTTTTCCCCTCCCCTTTCCCCCGCTTCCCGTGCAAGCTGTGCAGGGATGGAGCTCAGAGAAACACCAGCAGGCGAGCTCGGAGCAGCTTGCGAGTTACCTGGTCTGAACCCCCGCCACAGCCCCGTCTCCGTTCGGGCTGCAGCCGCTCTATCCCCTTCTATCCCCTGTACCCGGGGGTGCTGGCAGGACCCCCGCAAGGGCTCACAGCCATTGTTCCCTCCGCCCTCTGCTTACCCCCGAGGCGGAGGCAGCGGCGGCCCCGGGGAGCGGGAGTACAGGGGGGCAGTGGGAGGAGTGGGCTGGGAACGGGACCCTCACGGCCGCCCGTCCCCCGGGAGCGAACGGGCAGGGCGCCGGTAACACGTGTGACTGTAAACGGAAGGGGGTAATCAGCTTGAATTTGCGACGTTCCTGCATGTTTTATTGACCGGAATTTATTTTTATTTCTGTTTTAAAAACAGGCAGAAAAGAAAAAAGAAAATCCCCAACCCACCCAAACAAACAAACAAACAAAAAAACCCCACCACAACACCTTTGAAGCAGTTTTCACTTTATTTGGCTTCCGTTTTAAAAACAGAGCCGCAACGCTGTGTCCGCTCCAAAAAAAAAACCAAACCAGATATTATAAAAAATCATTATTAAATATGAGCGCGGCGCGAGTGGCTCGGCAGTTACAACTACTCCGGCGACTGCGAGTCCTCCCGTGCCTCAAATGAACGCCCCTGCCAGGGGAGCAGCGCGGAGGAGACCGATCCCGGCGGTGCGGACGGGTGCGGAGCGCTGCGCCCCTCCCCTGGGCAATCCGCGGCCCCGCAGCGGGAACGCTGCGGGCGGGGACACGGGCACGACCCCACAGAGCCGCACCGTTGGCGCACCCCGCTTTTCCCTTCCCTTTCCTTTCTCCCGGGACCTGCACCTGAGGGCATACCCGAGCAGCGCCGCAGTAGCTTTTTATCGGCTCTTTAAATAAATCTCTGTGGCCGGTAACGGAGAGGCAGCTGCTGTCAGACGCCGAGCACTGGGCTGGTGGCAGGCACCGAGTATTGTCTGTTGTCTGACCAGGCGTGCTATTTATTGAGGTCTAAAGGGGAGAACTGTCTGTCTTCCCTTCCTGGGCATGCACTTAGAACGTTTGAAAGCTAAAGACTCGGGGATCTGACAGCCCAGGAGTTGTGGGGAGGGTATACCCCTAATACAGCCCCTCTCCCGAATTCCCAGCCCTGTGACTCACCTGCTTTCATATCCTGCCTGCTGCCTCGGACTGTGATAAAAGAATGACAACAAAAAACAAACCCACATGAAACAAAATCTTCTTGCGGGGGGGGCCCCCCCCCCGAACAACAAATCTTGATGCCCACTCTTTCCGAACCTTAAAACCCTACAGCTGACTGTGACACGACTTGTTAGACCTTTTCTAAAGAAGGAATATCTGCTATACTGAAAAGTGAAACAGTATCCGGCACTGATCCATCCCAGGGATAGCTCTGTTAACACCTTGTCCATGAGCAGGCCTGCAATCACTGCTTATCCCAAATGTAAAGCCAATTAAAACAACAGGGCAGTGAGAAGAGTAGTTTTGCAGCTCAGAGAGGGTGTCCCTTTTGTAACAACATATATTTTTTAAAACTTTGAGCTGGTCCACACCCTGTTGCCACAGAGCTGTTAAGTATAGTCATTCAGAAATGGATGCTGTTCAAGTACAGCCCCCTGGTGCACAGGCACAGCTGTGAGGGGTGGCAGGATGAAATAACACGGACACAAATATTGCTACAAGGGCTCCGAGATGAACACAGCTGCTGCTGCGGATGGAAATAAGCTATACCCCATAAGCACCTTTACACATGTACAAGGGGCTGTACTGGATTTTAAACAGATACAGGCAAAAGGAGGAGTGAAACTGTTGTCTATAAAGCAGCCTTTGCTGAACAGTTCCCGAGTGAAAAATGTTCCCAGTGTAATCACAGTGAGTCCAGTTCGGTAAACCGTAAGCAGGGCAGTCCATAGTTTTTGTAAAAATAAGGTCTTTTGTAACAGGCTTCAGTTTCTGCCGGAGACTAAAAATTATTTATCTACTTGGAACAAAAGTAAAGCCCGTTAATTTTTTTCTTCTTTTTATTTTTTAATGTGCCTGCTTGCAGGAAAAAACCACCCCCCTCCCAAGGCCGTTTACAACCCATTTTGCTCCTGCTGCTCGCTCTGGTCAGTGTCATTTTTTGGGAACACAAACACTGTTTATTCTGGGGGAGATTGCCAGCAATTTTTACCTCCTCGGAAGAAATGCTACCCCAAATTGGCACAGCTGGAAAAATGCACAGATAACCCTGGGCCGGGAGCAGAGAGATGCAGCAGGACCAGCTACAGGTACACCCACACCTCATCTGAGAGAGGGCTTGTGGATCAGGCTTTGGCTTTTAACGTGCCTTTCAAAGGGCTTGATTGATTGCTGTTAATCCTGTGAACAACTTCGGTGTTGTTAACAGGACTGCCCGCATTAGTAAAGGTACTGCATGCATTAGTATGCTCCTCGTCCCCATGACGTCAATAGACAGCTTCCCAATGACTTCCAGGAGGGCTGGATCAGGCCCTGGCTAGCAGCAAGTTTTTAATGAACACTGCTTGGTTCAGAGAAGGGGGGCACAGTGATACATCAGTCCTGACTATCTTCATTCTCCAGGAAACAAGCAAGTGAAGAATAAAGGCAGGAATAGGCCGAAAGGTTGCTGGAGGGGGATTCTTCTGCTGAACTTCAAAACCCTGTGCCCATGGCACACAGAACCATCATTCGCTGAAGGATTTAGAATAAATGGCAGGCAAGTTTTATTCTAAAAAATAAACGATATGTGTGAATTTTGGTTTTAAATAGTAATTTATCCTTTTTGCACCTAGGTAGGTCTGTCAGCCCATATACTCCCAGATTCTCTGCTAGTTTATTTTATTGAGGTTTTTCCAAATAAAGCGTGAAACTGCTAATAGCAAAGATACACTTTCTGATCACGATTTGAAGATACAGCTCTCAGCTATTATTAAAGGTCCCGATCCTGCCAAGTGTTCTAACTCAGCTGGGGTTGTTTACATCAGCTTGTTAGTCTTTATAGGGAGTGCTGACAGGATCAGGGCCTATTAGCTACATAATCAAATAAAATAATTGTGAGCTGCATGTGGGCCTTTAATGCATCTAACAAAAGGAGGGGGACCATCATCCACCGAACTTCGGGTGAGAACCTAAGCATCAGGGGATGGACCCAGTCCTGAAAACCTTAATCTGCATTGTTGTTAATCAGTCTGCTGTGGTCAGAGGGGTTATGCATTTGAGGAAGGATTACTCATGTGAACATTTGCAAGATTGGTCCCTGAATTAATGCATGAAGCAGTGTGGGTTGAGTTTTCTTTTTTCTTTATTTCTTTTTCCCTCTGCTTTAGTTAGAATCAAGGAGGTTGATTAAGGAGAGAAATGAAAAACTATTTGTATCTAAAGGAGCTTAGTACAGGATTGTAGTCAATGTAGGCAACAAAAGGTACGACTGTAATAAAAAGGGACCTTTGTTTATGGAGGTCTTTTGTTATTTAAGTAGCACTGGTGAGTTCCAGGTGGTAAAGAGGTGGTAAAGTGAAAGCTGCATAAGCCCCAGGGGTTAATAGAGAACAGGAAAATAGGAGAAAGTGTGTATGCATGTGTTTGCATGTGTGTTTAGACACAGGATTTGTGCAGACACAGGCATACATATCATTACATTCCACCCAATTGATTTTGCTATTTAAACAGAGCTCTCCAGAATATTCCTATTATCCATGCTGTGAACACTGTAAATACGTTGTAGTAGTCCTTTGAAAAGAGTATCAAGTTTATTATCTCCCATCCTTTTCCATAATACATATGTCCGTTTGTAATGAGTATTGAAAGCAGGAAAGCTTGTATTGTGGGGACAATAATGCCTCATGTTAACATGGTCCTTTTCATCATCACATCATTGTGCAATCATTAACAAATTAATGCTCACAGCGCCCCTGTGAGGAAGGGAGATTTCAGTTTAATAAGACCTAGTAGCACCACCA